AGAGGGATTTTGGCTTGGTCTCGTGGATTTAGACGACGATTTAATTTTTGAATATGTGACTGGTGGGAGCGTGACTTACACGAGTTGGAATACAGCTCCGATCCCTGGTGATGGCCAATGTGTATTGTAAGTGTATTCAAATTATCCAATATAATCCACGTATTGCCTTATATGTATAAAGCTTGCTAGCTTCAACACTATGGTAAACAAGATTTTGAGGTGTATTTATGGATCTCAGTCATAAAATATTTAAAAAAAATAACTCGATGTAAAATATGCTTGTTTTAACTACCAACGTCATAAAATGAGTTTATTTCGCCTAGCATAGCAATAACAAAATTACCATAAGTTTTCACTTATGAACGACTAGGGGATATTATACCAAAAACAAATGAACATTACACAATGATTTAAAGCGCGAGGGTCGTCACCTGAGCACGCGCGGGAATTGAGTCGAACGGATGATAACAACACACGCTAAAAACGCAAAGGCTCATGGGTAGATGCTTGTATGTTGCAAAAACAATGGCACGGTATGGCCCTCTGAGCAAGCGCAGGTGGCGACTCAACCCGCTTTACCATTCATGGTTTAATCTGGTCTCCATGACAACCTCATTTCTTATAGTAATTACTAAATAACGTTTGCAAAACTAAATAATAATAAGATGACATACATCATATAATGAGAAAAAGAATTGTTTAAATTCACTAATGATAAAGCAAATATTGTTATGTTTATTAGTAGTTTTCAAATGAAATGGAAATAGCTGTGACACCTGTTAGGTCACTGTATATAACACACAATGAGACACCCAGAAGACCAGAAGATAAATCTGATTCGAACCACGTTGAATAACATCATGTCTTTTATACTATATTATTTACGTGTCTGCAACACAGCACCCTAAGTCTCAAAAACGGCTACTTGTAAATGCCATTTTCTCGAATTACTGGAGGAGCTTGAGAATCGTTTTTAAGATAGTAGTATTGTTACTCGGCCTAATTAGACTGACATCAGCTAACAATGCATTAAATCACTTATAGGGATGTAGATGGTCTCTGGTTTAATGCTCAAGTGTGATGATGTTGGAGCGCAGCACTCATCTTTGTGTGAGATCAGTGAGTATCTTGTTATATTAGTTACTATATTCAAAATATTCAATTTAAACTGAACACGATTTGCACAAGCAGCGCAGAAGTTGTTCGTATCACATAATGTTCTCATAAATATATCCCAGACTCAATTGGCCGCCGAAATGTTTTTAAAGTGGAAAACAAAACGAGACTTGTTTTTACCTTTGTGTTTTAAATCGTTCCAATCATTGAGCATATGTAATCTATCTCTTGGCAGTCGTGGAATGTCACTCAACATGACATTTGCACTTCCGGTAAAATAAGTACTTACATTTGAGTCATACACCTGACTTTCTTAATGTTGTTGGTATAATCCGTTTAATAATTATATTCTCGGGTGATTAACCGTATCATTATAACTGAATAAAATGTGTACATTCAATGACCCACATTGAGTCATATAATATTGCAAGATGATATATGTATTAAATACGACGGTATGTTATTTTATTATAACAGTTACAGTTACTGTAGTATCAGGTGATCCACATTTGACGACATTTGACGGTCGTCCATTTAGTTTTCAAGGCATATGCTGGCACACTCTATTTAAAGACTGCTCGTCATCAAATCCTGCATTTGAAGTAACAACAGAGTTTGAGCCCAGGGAAGACAGTACGTTTGAGCATGTCAGATCGCGAACTGTTTCTGTTAATGTAACTGTTGGAAGTGATTTTGCTATCATTAATGGACTGGATGTCGTTACAGTAAGTGATTCTAAATTACATTTTAGAAGTATTTTGGATATGTTTTCATACAAACTATGTAAAATTCACGTATGACTGTCTAACACAAGCGGTGACGACTTTCAGCTTAAATTTTATTATTATAATGAATTATTCTTAAACATTTAAGTTAATTAAGGAAATGTAATATATCCATATATCTCAGGGTAGAACAGATGGACATGTGACTGCAGCAAGGCCAATACACGTTCTGGAAGATGATAAGACAGTCACACTGTCGTTTACTTCTAAGGATACCACATTCACGTTGTACTGGACCTTGAAGAAGCACAGCTTAAGAGTATCTATCTCTGGATCTGATTACCGTGGTCATCTATGTGGTCTTCTTGGTAATGATGATGGTGAGCCTCTTAATGACTTCATAACACCTGGTGGTGCTGTAGTCCATGATGCTGCTGAGTTTGGAAAAAGCTGGCGAGTAGAGTGGAAAAAGTAAGTTAGTTGAACAATTGTTGATCATGTTTGTCTTTTGACGCCGAGCTAAGCTAACTCGTATGGAGGATAGGCCCGTACACTAAATTATTAGACTATGAGATTATTACGAGGATGCCTCAGACAGTCGGTCAACACTCCCGTCTTCGTGCATACTTTGAGGTATTCTCGTAATAACCTTATTATTATACATCTTTTCCGTCCAAAGATACATCATGGGAATGCCAAAATCCGAAATGTTTAGAACAGAATCAGCGAACTTCTTTGTGTGGAGTCCGGTCAAACCCTGGCGACTGCAATGTTTGTTTGTTTTTATTAATATTAGACGCTTACGCGCGTAATAATTTCATATTTGGGATTCACATTTCCTCATATGGTAGGATGAAAAACATACCTTGTAAAATAATACAAAATTACAGCACGTTTTAACTTATGGCGTTACGATCAGAGATGTATAATAATATTCATTATTCTTTAATATCATGCTCACTAGAGTCTCGCGGGACTGATAAACTAAATATGTTTACACAGTGTTACACATATATCAGTATAGTTTTAAAGTTATTAACACTTTTCCAGTAACATGACAAGATCTGATCTCAACTGGAATGTAAATATTCATTATCCTTTTTGTTTTGTTTTAGATGTGAATAATGTGTAAGAAGAAGCTGACATTATAACAACTATATAATGTGTTGTTTCAATATGTTTATGGCTATACATTTCATCGCATTTAGTTTAACTGGATTATATTTCCTAGATGTTGCGCGTGTCAAATTTTCAGAAAACAGGAGTATTACAAGGCTTAGTGGGCACATTCAACATAAATTTGGAAATAAACGGTGATAATATGGGTACAACTTTGTTTGTATTTTATCGCATGCAAATTACTAGTTCAGTTCTTCATTTTTCTTTATATACATAATCCTAGTTAGCTATACTTAAATTGTAATAATTTCCCTACCATTCTACAACCTAATATGCCATTGCCATTTCACCGTAAATTGTCTCATATTTAATGAATTCCATTGGGCTCTACATACAATAAACCTTAGATGCAAAACAGACGGTGTGGACTTTCTTAACTTCTGTGAGATTTGTGTTCCCCCCGCCTCAATTAGTGTGTTATTATCAACCATCGTTGCGCACACTGTACCCTGGCTGATGTTGC